ATTGGCAAACTGAATAAAAAAATACGATCAAAGAATCATACACCATGGTCAAGTGGATGGTTCAATACATGCAAATCAATCAATGCGATATGCCACATTAACAAAACAGAGTATAAAGATCATATTATCATCAATAGGTCCAGAAAAACCATAGACAAAAATTCATCTTATATTTATGGTAAAAACTCTCAACCAAGTGTTTATACGGGGAAAGTACATCAACATAATAAAGCTATTCATGATAAACCCAGGGCAAACATCATACTCCATGGAGAAAAGCTAAAAGCTTTCCTCTAAGATCAGGAACAAGACAAGGGTGCCCACTTTCATCACTTTTATTCATCATAGTATTGGCAATCCCAGCCATAGCAATTAGGTAAGAAAAATAAATAAGGCATCCAAATCAGAAAGGAAGAAGTTAAACGGTCACTATTTGTAGATGACATGATCTTATATATAGAAAGCCCTAAGACTCCACCAAAAAACTATTAGAATAAATGAATTTAGTGAAGTTGCAGGATAGAAAGTGAATATACAAAAATCTAAAATTTTATATACAAAAATCTGTTGCCTATCCATATACTAATTTAAATTATCATAAAGATAAATTAAGAAAAGTCTCATTTACAAATGCACTAAGTAGAATCAAGTACCTAGGGATAAACTTAACCACAGACGAAAAAGACCTGTACTTTGAAAACTGTAAGACATGATGAAAGAAACTGAAGATGGCAGAAACTTGTGGGAAGATACTGTGCTCATGGATTGGAAGAATTTATACCCAAAGCAACCTACATATTCAGTGTGATCCCTATCAAAATATCAATGGCAGGGGCGCCTGGGTGGCTCAGTGGGTTAAAGCCTCTGCCTTCGGCTCAGGTCATGATCTCAGTGTCCTGGGATCGAGCCCCATATCAGGCTCTCTGCTGAGCAGGGAGCCTGTTTCCTCCTCTCTCTCTCTCTCTGCCTGCCTCTCTGCCTGCTTGTGATTTCTCTCTCTGTGTGTGTCAAATAAATAAAATCTTTAAAAAAAAATATCAATGGCATTTTCCACAAAACTAGCACAAATGATCCTAATATTTGAAGAGAATCACAAAATACCTCAATAACCAATGCAATCTTGAGAAAGAACAACAAAGCTGAAGGTATCACACTGTCTTATTTCAAGCTATACTACAAAGCTATAGTAATCAAAATAGGATGATCCTGACACAAAAACAGAAATATTCATCAATGGAACAATATAGATAGCCCAGAAATAAACCCAGGCTAAAATGGCCAATTAATCTATGACAAAGGAGGCAAGAATATACAATGGTGAAAGACCATCTCTTTCATAAATGGACCAGTTTCTTATAGTGTACACAAAAATAAACTCACATGGATTAAAGACTTAAATTGAGACCTGATACCATAAGTTTCCTAGAACAAAGGCAGTAAACTCTGACACCAGTCTTAGCAATATCTTTTTTGATCTCCTTAGGCAAGGAGAACAAAAAGAACAAGATACAGTGGATTACATTAACAAGAAGGCTATTGTACAGCAAAGCAGACCATCAATAAAAAGAAAGGCGGGGTGCCTGGGTGGCTCAGTGGGTTAAAGCCTCTGCGTTCGGCTCCGGTCATAATCCCAGGGTCCTGGGATCGAGCCCCACATCAGGCTCTCTGCTCAGCAGGGAGCCTTCTTCCCCTCCCCTCTCTCTGCCTGCCTCTCTGTCTACTTGTGATCTCTGTCAAATAAATAAATAAAATCTTTTAAAAAAATAAAAAGACAACCTACTGAATGAATGAAGGTATTTGCCAGTAGTTATGTCTGATAAACAGTTAACATTCAAAATATTTAAAAATCTCATACAACTCAACATAAAAGTAATCTGATTAAAAGTGGGCAGAAAATCTGAATACACATTTTTCCAAGGAAGATGACACATGAATAGATGCTCAACATCACTTAACTATCAGGGAAATGCAAGTAAAAACCACAATATGATATTAACTCCTACCTATCAGAATGGCTTAAAAAAAAAAAGACGTTTGGTAATGATGTGGCGAAAAGGGAGCCCTTGTGCACTGTCAGTGTGAATGTAAATTGGTGTATCACTATGGCAAATCTACTATAGGGGCCAGTAATTCTAATTATTTATCTGGAGAAAATGAAAACAATTAGAAAAGACATATGTACCCCTATGCTCATCAAGGAAGGAACCTAAATGTCTAAGGATAGATGAATGGATAAATAAGATGTGACATCTTTAAAACAATATTACTCAGCCATAAAAAAAACAAAATATTGCCAACTGCAGCAACACTGATGAGTCTAGAGGATATTATGCTAAGTAATTCAGATAGAAAAAAAAACCAAATACTGTATTATTTCACTTATATGTGACAACTAAAAAACAAATGAAAAAATCTCATGACCCTGAGACCATGACTTGAGCCGGATGCGTAACTGACTGAGCTACCCAGCCACCCCGATTCCATTTATAATGTGTTTTTTGTTTTGGTTTTTTTTGTTGTTGTTGTTTTAAAGTGAGCAGGGCACACAAGGGGAGCAGCAGAGGGAGAGGGACAAAGATTCCCAAGCAGGTTCCCTGCCCAGCACAGAGCCTGATGCAGAGCTCGATCTCCCAATCCTGGGATCATAACCTGAGCCAAATCAAGAGTCAACCCTTAACTGACTGAGCCACCCAGGTGCCCCTGTAAAACACTCTTGATGGGACATGATTATAGAAGAGATTACTGCTCGCCAAAGGGGTTAAGGGTGTGACAGAAAAGGGTTAGAACAAGGAATCTTTGTGGTGGTGGAAGTTCTGTATGTTGATTGTGGTGGCAGAGAAATCAACAGGAGATAAAACCATACAGAACTACACGGACACATACACGTGTGCATGTAGAACCAGTGATATCTGATAACATGTACAGATCATGCCAATGTCAAACTTGATATTGTACTTGAATTATGTAAAATGTATATTAGGGGAAACTGGATATAGGACACACAAACTAAACAGTACTATAGAGTATTATTTTGGCAACCTCCTATAAATCATTATTTCTCAATAAAAACACCTTTTTAAGAAAAAAGATTTATTTATTGGAGAAAGTGGGGGAAGGGGTAGAGAGGTAGAGGGGCAGAGGGAGAATCTCAAACAGACTCAGAGGTGAGCACAGAGCCTGTTGCAGGGCTTGATATCGTAGCGTGAGCTGAAACCAAGAGTCTGACGCTGAGCCAAATGCACCACCCAGGTGCCCCAATAAAGACATCTTTTGAAAGTCCCAGTAGAAAACAAAGAGATAAAATAATGAATGAGCTATTCACAGAAAAGGATATTTGGGTTCAATAAATATTTGAAAGGTCTAAATATAAAACATTTTAGATCTGATACAGGGAAGTGAGCTTTCATATCCGTTGGCCACATACCTCACAACGTCTAAAATCACCAGCATCTGCACCCTCATTAAAGGATTCAGAAACCAAATAAAGTTTTGTTGAGATATGCTAAAATTTCTCCTGCTCTGATACAGGCATCTATACTTGGCTTGACATTGTCAGAATATTAATCATGTTTTACAGTATGTATGAAGGGTCAGTCTCTCCTCGATCTGAAACCAAGCCAAATGTAGGTGATTTTTTTATTTCCAGATGGAGAGCCAATTATGTCAACAATTGATTATTTCTTTTGTTTCTTCACTGCTTTCAGCCTAGAGAATTTGTGTTTGAAATAAAAATAAAAATTTTAAAATTCCCATCAAGTAAATGCTATGTATATACTGCTGGCTTTTATTATCTAAGTTAACATTGTGAGGAGAGGGTAAGCAAAGTATCATCTTAATTCAGTTTGGTTTGTGTATTAGTAAAGATAGTTTTCTATAAATGTTAGTATTTGGTCATACACAATTCATTTTTAAGTTGTTTCTATAGGTCGTGTCCTTTTTCCATTTGATTCTTATTTTAGAGAAACAGGAAAATAAGGAAAGGCCAAGAAAGAATACAAAAGATAGCAACATATCTTAACAACCAGATTTGTTACCACCATATTTGCTTTCATTCTTTCATTTTTTAATTAAAGAAATGTTACAGATAAATATAACAATTCCATCTAAACCTCTCCCACTTCCACCAAGGCAACCAATGTCATAAATGGATATATGACCAACACACAGTACTGTTCTTTGCATTATTTTATTAAACTTATACAAATGTTACATCTTTTCATTGTACATTTTGCTTTTTTTCTCTCAATATTTATATTGTGATCTAGGTACTATATGTCAAATTTGTACCTTCTCTCTAAATACTGTATTCTATCATAACAATAATTACATGGTATTAATCTATCCTTCTACTAATGAGATTCTGTTATGTCCAATTTAGTGTAATACAAACCACGATGAACATAGAGATGTGTATCTTCATGCCCATATCTGTGTGCAATACACCAAAACAGAAATGACTATTTCATATTTGTGTTCTTAGAGTGATCCAGTTACTCTAAAGAAATAAATCTATTTCATTTTCATCATAGTTTTAGAATTTTGCTTTTTATATTCTAGTCTTCAGTCGATCTGGATTTAATTTTTATATATAGTATAGACAACTGTCATTTTTTGTTCAAATGAATCTTCTGTTTATTGAATAGGCCATTCTTTCTCCAATGACTTCAATAGCAATACCACACAAAAAATTTCCTTATCTCCTTTCTTCAATCTTTGTTTTGTTTCCACTGATTTATTTACTTATCAAGAACACATTGTTTAGATACCAGCTTTAAATATGTGATGCTATCTGGTAGACTGTGTTTTCTCTTGTTTTTCACTTGTTTCAGCTATTTGTGGTCCTTTATGTTCTCATACAAAATTTTAAATCAGTTTGTGAAAAATTTAACTAGTGAAAACTTTGAGTGGAAGTACCTTAGAGATTTGTGAATTTATATTTTTGAAAATATGTTTTCAGACAATGTTATTTTTCTCAGAATTTCAGGTCCTACTTTATGTTCTTCAAAATGTTTTTTTAACTTTATATATGTGTGTGTCTTGTAATTGCTGTTGTGTTATCCTTAGACATTTTATATCAACACATTTTCCAATTAACTATTTCCTATGTAGGAGGATATTTTTATAGTTTCTTCCTTCCCCCCAAATCTTTTTCTTGCTTAACATACTGGCTACAATAGGAGCTCAACTGTAATGCTGATATGCTGGTAGCAGACATCTTGTTTCATATTTTAATAAGAATCCTGAATAAATATCAATAGAGGTCTACTAAGGTTTTTGATGTTCAACTTATTTGTTACACAATTTGTCACATTGTATAAGAATTCTCATGTTTCACAATTCTGTGACTTCTTCAAAAGGCTTTCCACATTCATAGTTTTCTGCTCCAAAACCAATTATGTAATGTGAAAGGAGGTGCTAATTCTGAAGGCTTTTCCATCTTCACAATATTCATAGTGTTTCTATTTCTACTGAGTATGAATTCTCTGGTGTCTAACAAGGTGTGACTTTTGGCTAAAAGCCTTACCACACTCATTACAATGATAAGGCTTCTCACCGGTATGTTTTCTCATATGAAGTGTAAGAGATGAGATTTGAGAGAAGGCTTTTCCACATTTACTACAGTCAAAGGGTTTCTCACCTGTGTGACCTCGTATATGTATAGTAAGGGATGAGCTTTGGGAGAAGGCTTTTCCACATTTATTACATTCATAGGGTTTCTCACCTGTATGACCTCTCATGTGCACAATAAGAGAAGTTCTTTGAGAGAAAGCTTTTCCACATTCATTACATACATAGGGCTTCTCACCAGTATGACTTCTCATATGTAAATTGAGCAGTGAACACTGAGAGAAGGCTTTCCCACATTTATCACATTCATAAGGCTTTTCTCCTGTGTGACTTCTCAGATGAAGAGTAAGAGATGCAATTTGAGAAAAGGCTTTACCACATTCATTACAATCATAAGGCTTCTCTCCAGTGTGAACTTTCTGATGTGTAATAAAGTTTTGTTTTTGACTGAAGGCTTTGCCACATTCATTACATTCATAGGGTTTCTCTCCAGAATGAATTTTTTCATGGGCAATGAGATTTGATTTCTGGCTAAAGGCTTTGCCACATTCCTTACATATGTAGGGTTTTTCTCCAGTGTGAATTCTCTGGTGTCTAACAAGATTTGACATTTGAATGAAAGCTTTCCCACATTCATTACATTCATAAGGTTTCTCTCTAGTATGAATTTTCTGGTGTGTAATGAAGTTTTTCTTGTGGCTGAAGGCTTTTCTACATTCCTTACATTCATAAGGTTTTTCACCAGTATGACTTCTCATATGTACAGTAAGGGCTGAACTTTGAGAGAAGGATTTTCCACATTCATTACATTCATAGGGTTTCTCACCTGTATGAATTCTTACATGTATAATAAGCATAGAAAACTGAGAGAAGGCTTTTCCACATTTATCACATTTGTAAGGTTTTTCTCCTGTATGACTTCTCATATGAAGAGCAAGGGATGCAATTCGAGGGAAGGCTTTACCACATTCATTACATGCATAAGGTTTCTCCCCAGTATGAACTTTCTGATGTGCAGTGAGGCTTTGCTTCTGGCTGAATGCTTTCCCACACTCATTACATTCATATGGTTTCTCTCCAGTATGAATTTTTTCATGATCAATGAGATTTGATTTCTGGCTGAACGATTTCCCACATTCCTTACATGCATAGGGTTTCTCCCCAGTATGAATTCTTTGATGTCTAATGAGATTTGACATTTTAATGAAAGCTTTCCCACATTCGTTACAATCATAAGACTGCTCCCTACTATGAATTTTATGATGTTTAATGAGTTTTTCCTTGTGGCTGAAAGCTTTTCTACACTTTTTACATTCATAAGGTTTCTCTCCAGTATGAATTCTCAGGTGTCTGATGAGGTCCAAAGTTTGACTGAATCCTTTCCCACAATGATTACACTTAAAGGGAGTTACTGCAAGATGGGATGGATTAATGCAAAATGATTTCATAGGTTCATTAAATTCACAATGTTCCTTTCTTATAAGTATTCTATTATTATGATGACAGTCGAAATTATTATGTTCTAAACAATTTCCAAACAAGTCATATTCATAGAGATTGTGACTGGAAGGAAAAAAGTCCAAGTTAAGAGGAAATGCATTTGCAAATTTCTTATGACATTCATTGACTTTTTCTTCAGTCAGTGTTTTTGTGTATTTATCTTCAAATTGTGTCAAAAGTCTGTCCTGGATTTTCTGATGCTCAATCCCCCACATTTCTCCTAAAACAGATTGCAAATAAATATCACTTGAAAATTTTTCTAATATTATAAAATGAAGAAAATTTCAGGAAATATGCTATCATGGGATTGATTCTTGGTTTATGGTTTAGTTCCCCATTATAAAGCAAATTTCATGTGTGTAGATCTCGTATTTTTGAAGCTTTAGGAGATCCCAGGAAAAATATGAGTAGAGGAAAACAGGAATACAAATAGCTTTGATTGTGTTTAAAAATGGGATCCGAAACAAAACAGATGAACTGCCGGATAAATAAAAGGGAAAGTGCAGAATGTACAAAGTAAGAAAAAATGACAGAGGAAAAAAATAGGAAGTTAATTATAAAAGTATTTTGTAGGACTCTATTAAAATAAGCTTTTACAAACTGCTTAACATAAATAATTTTCTGGAAAATGCAAATTACCAAAACTGACCCTGTAAGAGGTAGAAAACCTGTATGAACCAACTTCCACAAAATAAAGAGAAAAATATGAAAAAGCAATCCCATCAAAACAAATCAAAAAGGCCCACAGAGATCCACATGGGAATTTGAACATTTAGGGGACATTTGCTTTCATGATTTGCAAAAATGTTATAAATATAGAAAAAGAGAATTTCCAATTTTTTTCTGTGTAAAACGTAACAATACCGAAACCTGAAAAAGATAACCAAAAAAGCAAACTACACACCAACTTCACTTATGAATATCAATGTAAAAATTCTACCTAAAACATCAAAATAACCCAGAAGATAAAAAAAGTGACCTAGAGAACATTAAATATGTTACATCATACTTGTGTAGGTTTTAAGGTACAGAAGTATGTTTTACTATTAGAAAAATCTATTTTACTATTTTTTAACTATTTTATTATTTTTACTATCTATTTTACTATTAGAAAAATCTACTTCTATATTAAAATATTGAAGTAAAAAAATAATCATTTCCAAAGATATTTTAAAAAATGATAAAACTAAACATCAATTTTCCATAATGAAACTTTCAAAAAATGGGAATACTTATTTAACTTGGGGAAAAGTACAGCACAACTTCAACAGCACCATATTTAATAAGAAAAATCTACCCCCAGCCAAAAAAAGAAAAATCTCAAAGCACTGACATAATAAAAAGTACTATCACCACTATTATTACAGTACTGTGTAGTACACTGAGGGACAAAATCAGAGGTAGAAAATGTGGAAAAGAAAGGTAAGATTAACATTTTTGTCAACAATAAAACAATTTACGTGCAAGATCAAAAGTGAAAAATTATTATAAAATTTAAAATGTCATTAAATTCAGTGTATCAGAAATTAATAGTCTCAATAACATTCATAAATACAAAGAACTATTTAGAAAACATAACAGAAGACTATACTTACAATCACAACAAAAAAATATGGAAAATATGGGAATTTAATAAGTAAGATCCCAAGATTTTCAGAAAATTAAAATGCGCACACAGATGTGACCAAATGGAAAGGTGCTACAGGTTGAATTGTGTGTACTGCAAAAAAGATATGTTGAAATCCTAATTCCCAGTACCTCAGAATGTGAAGTTAGTTGGAAAAAGAGTCACTTCAGATGCAATTAGTTAAAATGAGGTCATACCAGAGCAGGGTAGCTCATAATCTGACTGGTGTTCTGACAGAAAGGATGCAATGTGAACAAACAGAAATACAGGGAGAACAACATGTGAGAATAAAGACACAGTCTGGCCTTGTGCCACTGCAAGCCAAGGAATGTCTAGGGCTACTAGAAACTGAAAGAGGGAAGAAAGGGTCCTTCCTCTACAGATTTCAGAGGGAGTATGGCCTAGCAACACCTTGATCTAGGATTTCTAGCCTCCAGAACTGTGAGAATAAATTCCTGTTATTCTAAGCCACCAGTTTGTGGTATTTCATTATGGCAGCCCTAGGAAACTAAGAAAATCACATTGCTGGAAAAGAACATTCAACCACAAAAATGACATTTATTCACAAGCTAACCTATCAATGTAATTTCATTAAAAATATTTGAAAATACAGGTAACAGCTCAAAGGAAAACGATGTTAGGGGTTACCACCTTAGGAAATGCGTAAGAGAAGAGCTACTTTTCAATATGTATCCTTTTGTACTTTAGAGGTTTTATACTATAAACATGTATTATGTATTTTAAAAAGTAAATAAAATTGTTCTGAGTACTGCATTAATAAAGTGAGAACAAACAATGGGCAGATAAAAACTCAATCAAAGAGCTGGAACATAAAATTGGAAGAGCCTACTTAGCATGACTGGATAGGGAGTAAGTAATGTGAGCAGAAGGGAAAACAAAAAGGGAGAAATTAAGCTTAAATATGGTATAATAAATACATGAATTTATTTCATCCAACCCAAAATCACACCAATGTGAGATAAAGAAAAATGCATAAACTAACAAAGACTATGCAAGAATAGATGGAAGACCATTCTCTTAAGAAATGGAAGCAGAAATGCTGTCAGGTCAGGAACATGAGGCAGAGGATACAAAATAAAGGAACTGCCTCAAGCATAGAGTAACTACAAGCCTACCTACTTCCTGAAGGATAACATTCAGTTCCCTGTTGCTGCTTAGCTCCAAGGTCGGAAAATGGAGATTTTTCTCCCTCTCTGCCAGACTGATAATAAAGGAAGGGAAAATTCCTGTGCAACTGTAAAGCAGGTAAACTTAAGAGACTTGGTTGCAGATTACACATGTGAAAAGAAGGCAGAATACTAGCCTTTTGGGTAACTTAGGAGAAAAATAGAAGTCCCATTAAGCAAATGATGTTGAAGGTCAGATTAGGCTGCCAAAGTACATCCAAAGAGAAATGAAAAAGAATTTGATTCCACGTACAATAAGGGCTTCAATACGAAAAACAGATGCATTCATATACAAGAATTGGTAAACTTTTTCTTAACATGTCAGATAGTAAATATTTTAGGCTTTGTGGGTCATACAGTCTTTGATGCAACTATTCAAGTTTGCCACTATAATGTGAAAGCAATCCTACACAAGATGTAAATGAATGGGTGTGGCTATGTTTTAATAAAACTTTATTTTCAAAAATAAGAGGCAGGCTTACAAACCATAGTATAGTTTGCTGATGATCCCTGTTCTAGATCAGAGTACTCATTTTCTTTCCCTAACAGTACCCTTTTTTAAAAAAGCAAGCCAAGGAAGAACTAGCCTACCACTAAAAATGAGAAGGTGCTAAAACCAGATCTGTAAGATATATTACAAAAGAAAAAACATAAAATAAACAGGATATAAAGAAAACAGAAAAAAGGCACCAGCTAAAACAATTATGGCACACAGTAAATGAAAATGTTGGCTATTTCCATGAACGGCAAGGCTTAATGAAAATAAATCTATAAATCAAGAGCTGAAAATCTAAATATAAACAAATGAAGTGGAAACAATAAGAAAACAGAAAGGGATAGGTGAAAAAAATAAGTGGCAGAACCAAGGAAAGAAATGGAAGAGAAAAATAAAACCAACCAAAACGAAGAATACCATGCACATCGGGGGAAAAAGAGACTAGGTAGTACTTAATATTGAAATTATAGTACGATAACCTCACACTGAAGAATAAGCTAATGGTAAAACAAATTCTGTTGCATCACTGGGCTTACAGAAAGTAGCATAAATCTCCAAGAACACCACAATATACTCTACCAACCACACCTGAATACCATGCACTAAAAAAAATGAATAAAACACAAACAAACAAGTATTAGCCAAAATCAGGTCTGCAAGAGGGATTTAGAAAGCAAGCAGGAAGATGAATTTGACTTGACTTCCTAGACAAATCAAAGCCTATTAACTGAAGCATAAGCCTCGGGCCAGGAATAAGGAAAAGAAGATCAACTGAGGTTCCTACAAAAAGCCAGCACATTCAAAGAATGGTCAACTGGTCTTCACTTGGTAATTGCTGTTGGCATCTATCAGAAGCACATATGAATCATCTTTGGAAGAATGCAACCCCAATTTAGGACAAGATTATTGCAAAAAGGTTTAAAAATGCTGAATTCACAATCAAGCAGTCATCAACCATGTGAAGAATCAAGTACAAGAGGCAAATCATTTAATCCTAAGGACTTAAAATATTAGAATTGTCAGATACAAAAAACAAAACAGCTACACAGAATATTTTGAAAAAAGCAAAGGATAAAAACACGAACATGAACAAGCCACAGAAATCGGAGTGAGAAAGATGTAGGAGAAAAAAAGCCAAAAAAAAAAAAAAAAAAGGAATTTCTAAAAATACAAAACAGTACTACTGAATTTTTTTTTAAGCAAATGAGATAAAAGATGAATAAACACAGCTGAAGAGGGAATGAGTAAATCTGAAGATATATCTAAGGTAATTACTGAGAACTCAACACAGAAAGGGAGACAGAAAATAGTAAAGGAAATGAAAAAAAAAAGAAATATGGAGGAAAAAAGATCTAGCCTCTGATTTTAGGAGTCCCAGAAGGAAAGTGTAGAGAGAATGAAGGAAGCCAATATCTGATGATGTTGGCTAAGAAATCTACAGCGTTAAGGAAGACAAAAATAAGAGCACTATGGGAAATGTTATACTAATAGATTAGAAAATGAAGATGAAACAAGTTGTTAAATATAACAGACTACCTTGGAACATCAGTGTATAGTAAAACTTTACAGATACAGAGCAAACTTAAGTATTTATGGAAATTAGGTTGTTCAACTCGGTAAAAATTAATTTGAAAAGCAGAATTAAGTGGGTAATTTTCTAGAACAATATAACCTATTACCAAAAACTAATGCCAAAAGATACAAAACACCTATAGAGAACAGTATAAAGTAACAATGGATAAAAGCTGTCAAGAGCACTTTACCTCAGTAACCCACAAGGTCCAAATAGGTGAACAAGTAAGATAAACCAAAATTTTAAGGGAGTTATATGCTATTATGAGTACTCCAGAAGGAGAAATGGTTTTAAATTCTAATTATGAAACCAGTGTAACAGTGCATCCAAAGCCTGAAAAAGTTTGAACAATTATTTAAATTCATGGTAAAAATGTAAGCATGAATAATTACGAAGAAGTATGAAGACATAATTCACCTATATACATGAATGAAAAAAAAATAGGATAATCCCTTGTAAGGAAAGATTATTTTAACTAAATGAACATTAAAAAAAAACTTAAGGTTCCAAAAGTACCTCAAAGAGGAATGTCCAACTGTGAAAAAATACTGGAAAAAGATACAAAAGATAAAAGGCTTCTCACATCAATATAGTCATATAAATTAAAAATTCAACAGAAAAAAAAAATTCAACAGAAAAACAGGCAAAAGACATAGGCCATTTATAAAGAAATACAGAGCTTAAACATATGAAAACATCCTTGATTTCATTCATAATAAAGGAAATACAAATTAAAACTAAAATGAATTTTCACCTATCAAATTGGGAAAGTTTTTAAAAATGCTAAGACTATGTTGGCAGAAATTCCTGGTAGAAATAAAAATGTAGTTTCTTTGGAGAGCAAAAAAAAGACTTGGCACTATCTACTACCAAATTAGAAATATATGCATGTATGTGTATATACATATTGCCTACATGTGTATGTATATATATGTGGGTCTATGTGTGTGTATAAATACATGTGCAGACAACTGTGTGCACAAATACATGACAAATGCAGCAGAAAATAAAGCTATGAGAAAAGTATCACTGACTTGAAAACTGAGTAAAACAGCTGTAGCCATTACTGAAGTATGAAAGCAAAAGCTAAAAATACAGTGGGAAATGTAACTGAGTACAAAATAAAATACTAAGGCATTTATAATAGAAGGAAGAAAAGAAAGTCTTTAACATAAATGTCAACAGTTTAGTTGAGCAACTGGTTATGTGAATATGCAAATGCAAAATCAAAGAATCCTATGTAACAAGGTGGGCAGAGAGACTGAAGATGCTAATAACAGAATGATTGTCAAAGTAAAGCTGGAAATGAATTAGGAAATGCTAACACACAGATAAAAAGGCCAACTAGTCCTTTAAGTTCTGTGGAAAGAAGAATGTTATCTAGAAAAGACATCTTAGGTTAGTAAATTATTCACATAGACTATTATTACTTAAAAGTCTACAGTCTTTAGGAAAATATATTTGGAGAACATTTCAGAGGGGTCAACTAGTCATGGATTAACCATTAAAGAGTTCTGGTCCCACCTCACCTGTCTGTTCCCTCCCTAACTAACCTGGATAGTGTCTCCTTAACACTTCTTCCTCCACCACCCAAGGTTCCTCTTCTTGCTCCAACTTGAAAATCACATCAGGTTTGGTGAATGGACAGCCTGTCAAGGGAAGTAACATAAGATTTGGGCAAAAACACCAGGCACAAAAAAATCTCAGAACACTGAAAAAAAAAAAAATCATTCAAGAATTGACATTGGCCCAGGGAAACCAGGCTTTCTGAAGGACAAGGACATGGTTTGTGGAGATGCTGCCCCTGAAACATAAGGGGGATGACCGTTTGCTTTGAAAGCTGCGGCACTTGTATTCATGTAAGCAAAGGCACCTCAAGGCGAAACTCACTCTAACATTTAAAGGTTCCACGCATTTCAGAAATTTGGGTGAAAAGTATTTTACTCCCCGAATTTGAGTTACACAAGAAACTACCCTTACCCACTGTGATTAAGTTGTTATAGTTTTCTAGCATCACATTCCGGTACAGGTTCCTCTGAGCAGGATCCAACTGCTGCCACTCCTCCTGGGTGAAGTCAATAGCCACATCCTTGAATGTCACTGTTCCCTGTAACAACACACTCCTACTCAATCTGAAGTCATCCCTTTTAAATGACATAGAAAACATACTGAACCACGTTCTCAGAGTACCCAAAGGTAAGAGGTTATTTAAAATTTTAGGGGGTGTTGTTATTTTCTAAACAAACAAACAACAACAAAAACCCAACATATTAACAACATTCTGTCAGTCTGTGTTCATTCACAGAATCAGCAAGCATGTATCTTAAATACCTACCATAGGTTTAAGGAGATCTTCGGCACCAAATTATACTGAGTGTGGAAAATGGGAGGAACATAAAATTTTACTCATGTGGTTTGGGAACTCACTAGATGCCTGTGACTCATTAAGGTAGGCGAAAATAAAAACTGGATTTGGATGGAAGCAGAAACAGGGATAGAATGATACACACAATTTGAAGTACAGTAGCAGCTAGATGTATTGTTCATTAGATCAAGAGAAATTTAGAAAAACGAGGATGTTTTGTTCATAAGCCTATAATAAGTGTCTGCAGCCATGAAAATGGGAAATGGGAAAATGGGAAATGCTAACTTTGTTAGCAAATAACAGATAAATAAAAACAATAAATAAAAAAAGATTAACAAAGTTTTTTAAATGGTCTGAACCAGAATCACAACTAGAAGCATGAGAAAAGAGTATCAAGAAAGCTTTAGAATAAGTTCAGAAATGAGGTGCCAGTGACAAGTTTTATGAGAGCAATATGATTTGTATATAGAAATATAATGCAATCTTCCTAGTTAAAAACTGTATCAAGAACTAATGATGTACTATACGGTGGCCAAATGAACATAATAAAAAAAAATAATAATACCTGAATAATAATAAAATATAAAAATAATAATAAAAAACCTGAAATGTTCAAAAGATTAACAGAGGGAAAAAATCTTCAACAGCAACAGAACAAAGAGGTCTGTCCAAATCTCCTACCCTTTGAGGAATTTCTATGAGAGACTGGGTGAGATGAAATCACCAGGAGCTAATTCACAATCCATGTTTCTAAGAATTTATTTGTAGGTCTAAAAGGACCCTATGAATATGAACATCTACTAACACAAAGGGTTCAGAGTAGGCTGTGGGATTGAAATCCTCTTTTGGAATCCTTTCTAATAAGTATCAAGGCCTTTGATATAAACAGGTTTAAGAAACCAAAGGCCATATGCCTGAATAAGATATCTCTCATTTGTTTCCCTGACTCAACAACTTGATTTCCACCTATGGACAAAAGTGCTTTTGTGGGAGCTGTCAGAGCACCATACACCAAGAGGCTAAGGAGGAGACTCACCTACTCATGCTTTGGGTAACAGGCATTTAAGAGCTCAGCCCTAGGTGTGGATTTTGTAATGACCCATGAACCAATCTACCCCTCTTGGCTGAGGTCCTGGACCTTTGGAAAATACTATCTTAGATAATCACCCATGAATAAGAGAACTTTTGTGGAAATCCAGTCTGTAGCAGAGAAGTCCCAGCATATTGCTGAGAACAAAAAAAATATGAGTTTGGACTCATCACAGGGGATAAGAACAGTTTGATTTTACTCACATCACCTGTCTCCCAAGGTAGCACAGTTTAGGACCATGAGGGATGTTCATGGCCAATGAACTTATCCCTGGAGGAAAGTGAGAATGTATGAGTGAGCGCTTGGTTTCCTAGCTGTGTGGGATAGAGCCAAAGTGGCTCATTTCTCTTTCACTGCATCCAGAGTACTGAATTCTGAGCTGCATGCCTGGAGGGTAGAATGAGTCTGGGAGAATAGCAGATAAAGAATCTCATAAGGCATTAAAGGGATCCAGATCTTACTGTGTTGCAAACTCCACTAAGAAGCCTGCTCATGAGCTGCTCCATATAATTTGCCTACAGATCCCCCTCACCCGTGGGCACCCTCAGTTCTGCAGACCTCATCTCCACAAACTCCCACCCCACAGCATAGAGCCAGTCTGAATGCAGGCAAGGAAGAGACCAGAAACGTGAGTTTTAGTGCTGCCTTTGGAAAAACAACAAGGAGGCTGTCAGCAAGCAACCTGGTGTGCTGCAGGATGAAGAGAAGGTAGACAAGCTTAAGAATTCTGCTACAAGAGAGAGCAAGAACAGTGGTAGAACAAGTCTTAGAACTTGATAGAAGTTCTAAGAAAGCCTCAGAATCCCTAGCAGTGCTGATGGAAGTTATTTCTCTCCTTCAGGAGAGAAATTAACTACTTTCAAGTAGTTAATGACTGGAGGATGTGAGAGCTACTTCAAATATGAAGATAGCAATGCAGAAACTTCAAGGAATATGAAGAAAATCAAGGAAACATGATACTGCCAAAGGATCACAATAATCTATCAGTAACTGATCTCAAAGACATGGAAACGTGATTTTCCCAATAAATATTTCAAAGTAGCTGTTTTAAGGAAACTCAAAGAGCTACAAAAAACACAGAAACATATCTTGATATTAGGAAAACAGACATGAACAAAATGAAAATTTCTCAGAGAAATCATAAAAAAGAACCAAACATTCTGGAGCAGAAGAATACAATAAATGAAACAAAAATGCACTGAAGAGCATCAACAACACAATGGATTAAGCAGAAGAAAGAATCTGTGAGTTAGAAGACAAAACTATAAATTATCTGTTCAGAGAAGAAAAAGAGTGAAGAAGGTCTACATGAATCATGGTGCATCATCAAACAAAACTATATTCACATTATGAAAATCTCAGAATGTGAAGACTGAGAAAAAGGGCAGAAAGCCTATTTAAAGAAATAATGCCTGAAAACTTCCAAATCTGGAGAGAGATTTTGATATCCAAGTTCATAAAGCTCACAACTCTTGAGATCAAGAGCTGACGCCTGCTCTACTGACAGAGCCAGCCAGGTACCCCACCACTGTATACTTTAAACTAACACAATATTATATGTAAATTATATCTCAATAAAGCTGAAAAAAATTTTTTTAAAAAGAAATCAAAGTGCCAAAGTCTTAAGACCCTGAAATTCAGGGAGTTCTTGGGAATTCCCTTTAACAGGGATAATGACCAAACTAAGCTTGAACAAAGCACCCGGTTAAGAAGTAGGGCTGAGGAGAAAACATAATGCAGAAAGCTGGTCCTAGCATAATGGTTTCACTAATCACATAGAAGCACAGAACCATGTTAGATGAATTCTTGATAATACTGCCTCAGCCTCAGATTTCTCCTAAGATGGATCAATAAACTAGTAAATAAAATTTAAAAACAAACACCACAGATTTGGCAAGAAAATCCTAACTGCACCCAACTCAAGAGTGAGAGAATTCAAAAAGAAATAATTAAATAATCTTGAAAATACTTAATATAATTTTGCAAATGTGAAAATAGTCTAAAAATGAGAAATCTAGACCTTATATACATAAATCTCCAGATTTAAAAGTTGCTATTTTATTTACTTATTTGTCAGACAGAGGATGCAGGACTTGAACCCAGAGCCCTGGGATCATGACCTGAGCTAAAGGCAGACACTTAACTGACTGAGCCACCCAGGCAACCCTAAAAGTTGATGTTTTAAACATAAATATGAAGCAGGCAAACACTAACCCTATCTACCCTGCTAGCACTGTGTCCCCCAACCCGACGTCCCCCTGCCACCCTTCCCCACCCAACTCATCCACCTCAGCAGGCATCCCTCTAAAGCAGCTCCTACCTCCTTACCCTTGGCAGGTAGCCTTGGACAGAACTGTGCCACTCCCAATGGATTCCTGCTCTGGGGAGGAGGACTGATAACAGCACACACCAGTGCACATGCAGTTCCTGAAGCAGGGTCTCTTAGTTGGTTGTACAGGGAGCAAACCCTGCCCTTCAGTGCACCTGCAGCTGTGATAGAGAGGCTAATTGTAGACAGGTAGGCTAAAAGTTGGCCCTAGCCACCAATAAGCGCATGTTGGTGGTAGCCAGGCCCCTCCACAACTCAGGGAGCAAATCCTGCTCAATATGCCCACAAAAAGCAAAGCAGGGGGTGTCTTGGTGGCTCAGTCAGTTAAATGTCTCCCTGCTCAAACCTGCTTCTCTCTCTCCCTCTACCACATCCCATTTGTGCTTTCTCTCTCCCTGTCAAATAATTAAAAAAAAAAAAGCAAATCAGGTCATTGCAGCTGGCTTAGCTGAAGGCAAATACAGCTCAGGCACAAGAGGAGGGAAGCCTACACAGGGGACACCAGTGGAGCACCTGGTTCTGGTCACCAGTTGGGATTGCATTACATGGAACCACAGGACCTCTTCTACATAAGCCTCAACTTTCAAGACCAGGAGATGTAGCTAACCTACGTAGTACACAAAAAACATACACAGAAAATCAGACAAAAGGAGATAGAAGATTATGTCCCAAATGGAAGTACAAAACAAAATCAGAATTAAAAAGCTAAACTAAATGGAGATAAGCAATATGCCTGAAAAAGAATTCAAAGTAATGATCATAAAGATTCTGACTGGACATGAGAAAAGAGTGGATGAACTCAGAATTCAGCAAAGGCACAGAAAATATGAAAAAGAACCAATCAGAGCTGAAGAATTCAACAACTGATATAAAAAAATACTAGAGGACATTAACAGCAGATTAGAGGATGCAGAAGAATGGATCAGTGATCTGGAAGAAATGAAACGAGATGAATGCAAAATAAAAAAAACAAGGAGGAGGAGGAAGTGGAGGAGGAGGAGAAAAAGAAAAGAAGAAAAGTGAAGAAGAAAGATATAAGAAAGAAGCAGATGCAGAAGAAGAATAGGTTAAGGGAACTCTGCAACGTCATTAAGAGAAATAACATTTGTATTACAGATATCTAAGAAGGAATGGGGGTAGGGCAGAAAACTTCAAAGAAATAATAGCTGAAAACTTCCATAATGTGGGGAAGGAAACAGCCACATCCAGGAGCTGCAGAGAGCCCCAAACAAGATGGCCCCAAGTAGGTCCACACCAAGACACACAATTACAATGGGAAAAACCTGATAAAGAGGGAATTTTAAAGCAGCAAAAGACAAGAAA